AACATACAATAAACACGGTAGTATAGTTGGAAGACACAGTTATACTACGTTTTGTTTCAGCCTACTTTATACTCTGGTACTAAGTTAAAGGCCTAGTAAATAACAACATACAATAAACACGGTAGTATAGTTGGAAGACACAGTTATACTACGTTTTGTTTCAGCCTACTTTATATTCTGGTACTAAGTTAAAGGCCTAGTAAATAACAACATACAATAAACACGGTAGTATAGTTGGAAGACACAGTTATACTACGTTTTGTTTCAGCCTACTTTATACTCTGGTACTAAATTAAATGCCTAGTATGTAACAACATATAATAAACACGGTAGTATAATTGGTATACACAGTTATACTACGTTTTGTTTCAGCCTACTTTATACTCTGGTACTAAGTTAAAGGCCCAGTAAGTAACAACGTACAATGAACAGGTAGTATAGTTGGAAACAAAACGTAGTATAACTGTGTCTATTTAACTTAGTACCAGAGTATAAAGTAGGCTGGGCCTAGTATGTAACAACATACAATAAACACGGTAGTATAGTTGGTAGACACAGTTATACTACGTTTTGTTTCAGCCTACTTTATACTCTGGTTCTAAGTTAAAGGCCTAGTATGTAACAACGTACAATAAACACTGTAGTATAGTTTGTAGACACAGTTATACTACGTTTTGTTTCAGCCTACTTTATACTCTGATACTAAGTTAAAGGCCTAGTAAGTAACAACGTACAATAAACACGGTAGTATAGTTGGTAGACACAATTATTCTACGTTTTGTTTCAGCCTACTTTATACTCTGGTACTAAGTTAAAGGCCTAGTAAGTAACAGGTAGTATAGTTGGTAGACACACAATAGTGCTAGGTTTTATAAACTACGCTATTGAGATACACGTTAATGATTAACATTACAGTGAAATATGGACTGGTCTTCTCAAGTGTTTTTGTCAGAAGTTTACGAAAATAGGGCATGTTATTATGATATTGTGCAAAGTTTTTTGTAATAATAACCGCTTTATATATTTATGTAAGATATAATTAATTGTGTTACAAATAACTTTCCCTTCTTTCATTAAGTTCAAGATTTCCGAGACCATCAATTTCATGAACTCGTGCTTTGTCGCAATCCCTCCCAGTAGTTGGGGCCCAGCTGCCGCCCCTTATCAATTAAGGGTAATAAACCGGTGAAAGATTGTATGTATAAAAAAGAAAGGCTCCAGACTTCGTGCGCGTGACATGAAGTCGGTGGAATTACTCCACATCTATTTCTTCAAGAAACCTAATATGTGTATTTATATCTCGTGGTATTTATCATATGACCAGTTTTTTTAATGATATGTGGACGTGTGTTATTGTTGGCTGTTTATGTGACCAGTTTTCTTAATGATATGTGGACGTGTGTTATTGTTGGCTGTTTATGTGAGCTCTTACACATTATCCTTGTTTCTTAAACTGTTTCCTCTTTCCACTGCTTTATTATACATAACTGTATCTTGTTAAGCAGTCATATGTATTAAATCATGTTATTTTCTTTTAGGCCACTTAAACAGGATAAAACTTCCACCAAATGAAGAGAAACTTATTGAAAATCTCGTTGAACAACCTTTGGGCATCATTATTCTTGGGCAGAATTGTCTGGCTAAAGCATCAGTGGTCAATGAATTGTTTGGGCAGCCCTTGTTACCTACTTTATATCCTAGACAGTGTAATCAGGAGGAGCGTCTTAGTTGGAGGATGGTAAGCACGTTTAGTTATTTAGGGTTTCTTAGTTGTTATGGTATTATTGATATGGTAATGATAAAACACATTTAGTTTGAGATTTAGGAATCACATAATTTTTAACCTTGTGTATAAGTTGGTCTACTGTATAATACCACATAATAAATTAGGCACAAAACTATAGTAGTATTTATACACCCAACTTTTCTTAGGTTACCATATACATAACACTTAAATCTCTGCTGTGTGCACTCACTAATTACATAACAGTTATGTAACAAATGGGGTCTGTGGTTTTGAACGCTGGTTTCAAGTGGTACAGCTGGATGAGGATGATGACTATCTTATAAAACAGTAGTACAGATGGATGACAATGATGAACATCCTATAAAACAGTGGTACAGCTGGATGAGGATGATGACTATCCTATAAAACAATGGTACAGCTGGATGAGAATGATGACTATCCTATAAAACAGT